TACAATCTCTGCGTTAGGGCACTTCCACATCAGCATCTGCGAGTCCTCTTGGTGTAGACCCATCCTCTTATTCATTCAATTTTATATTAATTTTTTTTAGTGTTTTAGATTAGTTGTATGCTCTGAACAAGTTCCTAAGTTGCATATTCATTGTATTTTAATTCATAACTTTTATTTATATTCGTTGTTCTCATGCATCCTAATATGGCTTCGTCACTTTCAGGTGTCGGCCAACACATGCCTACCCTGATGTTCGAGGAATATCAGGGTCGGGCGTGTCAATTTGTGTTAAATGATGGCATGACAGGTGAGTCAAAACTACGTCACATCGTTAGTTAACAAAGTACTTGAGAGAAAAACTAACATAAATCTAAAAGTGGCATAAAAATTAAAATTAAAGTATGAAAGCGACGCTGAGAAGGAAAAAAAATAAGGGTATTAAATTCAGAATTTTGAGAAACTTGAAGGTAGTTGAGTGAAATTTATCCTTAATTTATAAAGCATTTTTAGGTTTAGGGTTTTTTTTTTTTTTCCAAGCTTAGAAAATTTGTTAGAATGATCGTAATTTCTTTTTATTGTTAAATGATGTAATCAAATTGCAAATGATGGATTCTCATAGTGGCTAATGATTAGAATTTTCTCTTTTAACCTACAACATTCAGAGTTCAAATCATCCCTTTCCTCTTAGTGCACTTATAAGAAGGATAGTACTATTCATAAACTCATTTTAACTTTCTACACACTATTAATTTTTTGTCATTGATCTTCTTCAATTCTTTTGATCCGACAGTCGAAAATTGAAAGGGATGTGTACTAAATAAAAATAAGTGTATAGATAGTCACTATCCTATAAGAATATCGCTTATATTTTAAAACAAAATTAATCAAATTTGATTGAAATTTTTTGTTAGTTGAAATGTAATAGATAAGCATCGTGAGAGATTTTGTTGAGATTCTATGCATTGTGAGAGATTGCAGCTCAAGACTTCGACTTCCAGCGTTGCTTCCTGTAGCCCCTTCTTTGGGAGTTTACCACATGCCCAATCGATTCCATGTAAATTGCTTCGGCGATCATACTTGTAAACTCTGAGTAGACAAATGAATCGATCGAAGACTGCCATTCCATTTCCACCTTCAACTAAGAACTGGATTCGGGTTTAGATGGACGGCGAACTAGCTTTTATCCTTGTGTGAAGCTGAAACTGAACCCGAAAAGAGATTCACTGCAGGCCTTCCCTTTCACCAGTAATCTCCACAGGAACAACATCCATCCTTGAAATGATGAAAACGCTTTGCATCCCTAACAACTATCTCCCTGTTGACAAGCTTCGATATTAGCTTGGTTGCTGAATGACAATTCACACATGCTCGAAGATTTTTGGTTATCCGAAGTGTAGTTCCTGGAGCAGTGCTGATGAGGCCATAAGCAATTGCCAGCCTCTCGCTGTGATTACAAAGTGTCTCTTCTGTCTCTTCATGATTCAAATCATGCAGAACAGAATCTGTATGCGGGATGAATCCTGCCTCCTTCAACCTCCTCTCCAGACTTTCGAGCTCTTCATAAATTTCCTTAGACCTTGGATGAGACTTGTCTCCCACATGAAATGCCTGAAGCTTCCCATTGACCTCAATCAAACTATGTCCAAGGTCCTTGATCAGTCCTTTTTCCCTCATCAATACTCGTACCTTTGCAACATGATCCCATAAACGGGCTGAAGCATAAAGATTTGAGAGTTGAACATAATGCCCTGTATTATATGGATCTATAGAGAAAAGCTGTTCTGCAGCGTATTCTCCCAAAGTTACATTACGATAAATCTTGCATGAACTCAGAAGTGCTCCCCATACACTTATACCAGGTTCAATTGGCATCTTTCTGATAAAATCGTAAGCTTGATCCAAGCGGCCTGCACGTCCAAGAAGATCAACCACACAAGAATAATGTTGGTTTCCAGGCTCAATCCTGCAGTTTACCATGCGGTGGAACAGCTCCCATCCTTCCTCAACAAGGCCTGAATGGTTGCATGCAGTGAGGAGCCCTAGGAAGGTGACATCATTGGGCGGCACTCCTGCCTGCTGCATAGAATGGAAAAGATCAATGGCTTCTCGTGCTCGACCATGTAATCCGTAGCCTACGATCATTGCACTCCACACCACAACATCTTTATTAGGCGTTCTATCAAAAACCATTCGAGCAAAATCGGTACTTCCACATTTTGCATACATATCAATTAGGGCTGTGTTAACAAAGACATTATTTCTATACTCACTTTTATTGATATAATCGTCCATCCATTTTGCTAGGTCAAGGGAACCCACCTGGGCACATGCAGAAATAGCAGACCTCATTGTTATTGAATCTGTTCTACAATTTTTTGTGATCATCTCCCGGAATAGCTCTACAGCCTCGTTAGCATAACCATTCTTCGCATAACCAGATATCATAGCATTCCACAGTATTACGTTCGGCGTTTGCATCTGATCAAAAAACGATCTGGCAGCCATCACCTGCCCACTTTTTGCATACATTGCCGTGAGTGCAATGAGCAAGTCAGGTTCAAATTCAAGACCCATTTTAATCAAACAACCATGAACAGATGTCCCCTGTCCCAAGTCTTCTACATCAGTATAAGCTTTTAGAACACTAACAAGAACGATCCAATCAGGTTTCACATTCAATTTTCTCATCAGACCAAAAATTCTCAAAGCTTCCAAAGGCTGGCCATTCTGGGCATGCCCTGAAATCATCGAAGTCCAGGAAACAACCGTCCTCTCAGCTAAACCATCAAACACAGCCCTAGCACGATCTATTCGACCACATTTAGCATACAACGCCACGAGACCATTCTGCACAAACACATCTGATTCAAACCCATGTCTAAACACCTGTCCATGAACCCGTCGACCCATTTCGAGGTCCGGCATGCCACTGCAAGCTTTAAGCACATGAGGAAAAGTAAACCCATCTGGACTGACACCCATTACTTGCATCCTAGAATACATTTCTATAGCCTGAGAAAACACATTGTGCCTAGAATAACACCTAATGATCGCGTTCCACTGAAATACATCTGGGTCAGTAAATTCATCAAACACTTGGCGGGCGTACCAAATATACCCGAGATTCGAGCTTGCATTGACCAATTTGGTGATCAAAAAGCCACTGTCTATCAAACCTAATACAACTAACTGGGCATGGATTTGACCCAACTGGCTCTTTCGGGTCGAACTATCGATCAGAGACGCGAAGAAGGAGTCCGGGTCGTGGCCGTGACGGAGGTGTTGGTCGTCGTAGCAGTATGGATCTAGACGGAGAGGAGACGAACAGTAGTGACGGAGGAAGGTGAATGAAAACGACGCCGGAGTTTCAAAATCATGAGACGTCGCCGTTTTGGGAGCCAACGTCAGGAATTTGGCGGGAAGGGGAAAGAGAGAGACTCTCCTCGCGAGAGCCATCTCAGGGCCGACGCTGATGTTAAGCTTAAAGGCGCAAAACGACATAGCTGCGTTTTTCCACTGGTATTATGAATTTAGGACCACTGTATTTTGGATCCATTGCAATTCTGGTCATTATAGTTCTATTTTTTTCCAATTTGGCCACCGTATTTAATCTTGTTTGTGAATCAAGTCCAATTGATAACTTCTGTCAACTTTACAAGTAAAAATTACTTACATGATACAGGTTCACTTCCATGTAGCGTTCTAGTCCAATTTTGCTATATGAAGAGAAATTTACACATGGCATGACTTCATTCGAGTGCGACTCCACCAGTGGCGAAGTCAGGAATTTAAGATAATGAGGTTAAAAAACGGCTTTCAAAAATCTATCATACTTTCATTTATAAATGTTCACGACATGTTCTCATATTTTGGAAACGTCATATTACAACATCATTATCAATAGAGTCAAATACATTTTTCTCAATGTACACAACCAAACTATCATTCGACCATTGATCACCCACCCTATAACGATGTGGATTCTTCACAATTTTCATCACCAAAAAAACTCTTTCAACTGAAATATGCGCAACAAGTAAAATCATACTAATTTCACTAGCAAGTACACCAACTTGGATCGCTGGGCTCACATGTTCCATGTTGGGTGACCTAACTTGGATCAATATTTGTTGGCCATTGTGGCCCACGCAACCAAGATTGCAATAGCAACTTTATGTTCCTGGTGATGTTGCAGTGCTGCTGCTGCAGTGCGATTATAATGGTAAAAAAAAAAAATTATATATATATATAAAGGGAAAAGTTCACAAAGTTATTGGGGTCAAGGGAGCCCAATGCCCCCACATTGGCTCCGCTAGTGGACGCCACGGTTATAGAAAACTTTGTTCTATGTATAACCACTTTAGTCTCTTCCCACCGCATCAACATCTCACGAACCCCAACTGCTCTCAGCCATAACCCACCTCTAGGTATAACACTCAATCCACTCTCGCCACAACCCTAAAACTCATGTCTTCTTCAATTTTACCCTCTAATAGAGCGATGAGTACAAATAGATGATAAAAATAACATTTTTGTTTTTTAAAATGTAAGTCAACTTATATGATTAAATAGCTATCGAACTTCAATAGCATTGCATGAATGCTCCACGTTTGTGAAAATAGTCAAAATTTAGCAATTCCACTTGAGAGAATTCCACTAGGTTCGAAAATACAATATGGATCGAAATAATGGAAGGCTGAATATGCGATAAAAAAAATTCAATTTATACTATACATCAGTGTAAAGTAGAAAATACCTTGAGCATAATTCCAAAGGAATCAAAATACCGCAGCCACATTAACAAAAAATAAAATTGCAGTGACTAAATTAAAAATCAAGGCAAAAAGAACAGGCCAGAATTGCAATTTTATCAAAAACCGAGGTATTTTCTAAAAATTCAACTGTCGGAAATTACGACAAGTGTGGCGACTTCCAGCAACGAAGATCCAGTTTTCTACTCAGACCTCCATCGATACAAAGCTTTCTTCCGGTCTCCTCCGTTATGGAGAGGCACATCGAGATTTTCCTGAAGAGGCTCTCCTACGTCTCCATACTCATCGGCACCGTCGCCTTCGTCTTCCTCCTCCTCAAAACCCCCGACACCTGCGTCGCGCCGGACTCTCCGCCGAAGCCCCACCTCCGCTTCCCCAAATCCTCCTGCGACGCCTCGCCGCGCGTGGTCCTCACTCTCCACAAGAAGAACAAGCGCCTCTGGTCCACCAAGACGTGGCAGAACAAGGTCCACTCCTTCTCCAACTTCTTTCGCGCATTTTATCAAATGGGTCTCCTGCACAACGAGTCCAAGGTCCTCTGCGTCTCCGCTGGCGCCGGCCACGAGGTCATGGCGCTGACCCAGTTGGGCGTCGCCGACGTCACCGGAATTGAGCTCCTCGAGTCGCCTCCGCTGGTGAGCCGGGCGGATCCCCATAACTTGCCTTACTTCGATAATGTGTTTAATTTGGGATTCAGTGCGCATTTCGCGGAGGCGTTGTTTCCGAACCGGTTCGCAGCGGAGATGGAGAGGACGGTGAAGGCCGGCGGGGTGTGTGTGGTGGTTGTGGACGAATGTGGGATGAGGATGTTAGGGAGATTGTGGATTTGTTCACGAATTCAAGGTTTGTTGGTGCTCGTAATGTTACATTGACTGGATTGAGAATGACAAGGATTATTATGAAAGTTAAGCATTCGCCTTAATTTCCTTTTGGTAATTCTCTCTTTGCTTTACATGTTTATGTCATATGTTTCGAATTCGATTTCTTGTTTGTGTGTGAATTGGTGTTTCTCTTTAGGATCTGGGGTTAGTGAGCTACTTATACTGTGAATTTGTGATTTGAAAGCGGATTAAGCAACCGCGTATGAACTCGAACGGATCTAGGTGAAGTTTATAACCCTTGTGGAGAAGCATGGCTTTGAGAGCGAATGGTTTCGCTGCGATGTACGCTTTGCTTTCCTCTCAAGTCTCGTCATTTCGGGCAAGTTTCTCTGTTTTAGTTGTGTTCGTTTGATCTCTTTCTTTGTCTGCTTGAGATCACAAATGCTAGGCACTCTTCGATTGTAAGGATCTTAATGATATATGCAATTTAGGATGTTCTTCTTGTTGGAAACAAGCATGTGTGCTGAATGTGAGTTGGCCTGAGAACATGTATGATAACATCTTCTTTGAGAATCTATGTCAACACCTGAATGTGAATTGACTCAAGAACATAGACGATAACATCTTCATTGGCGGGTTGGTGATGATTGATGCCTGAGGTTATCGTTCATATCGGCATCTGGTTTTCTTGAGTCCGACCTAGTTACAGATTCTTAGGTTCTGTCAGTCTTGAAGCACTGGCTTTGAGAATTTGGACACGAACATAGTTTCACAATTTGTCACAAATTAGAGTTGAAGTCGATGGTTCACAAAATGCTTCTTGAGTTGGTTTCTTTGATTCTTTCCCTGCCGATGATTTTCACAATAAGTTTTGAATGACAAGCCAAGGAATTTGGAAGCGAGCAAAACGCGAGTGGGTTGATTAATAAGTCCGGGAATGGATGTTAAAACAGAAACACACGAACTTCGTAACTTTTCCATGCGGATTCGTCGATTGTCAAGGACAATACCAGATTTTACATCCTAAACCTCATGTTGATTCACCAAGAATGCCAAGAAGTTTACCACACGAACGTTGTTGATTCTATGAGCTAGAACGAATCAACACAAGAATGCCAAGAAGTTTACCACACAAAAATTGTTGATTCTCTGAGCTATAACGGCCAATGATCGTCGGGATGTCTATACCTCATTAATTCCGTGGAATATCGGAGTTAATACAACAAGAACAAGAGTGAGAAAACTCTCTCAAACTGCACTCGGTTTTCAGTTCAGTTCATTATATTATAATCTTCATCCCCATCTAGAATACAAAATACTTTTATTTAAAAATTTAATCTTCCTAGCATTAATCAATTTGAAAAGCCAAATGCATGTTCTCGGAAATATTGTCCTACGTGCTTCACAACATGTGTATGCTTCTGCATCATTAACATTGTCACCAGTTCACATTGATGAATTAGTAATACTCGGCCTCACTACTTAAAAACATAAATTCGTTGTTATTTGAAACCTAAACTTTGAAGTTATCATTTATAGCACTTTAATGGACAGGTCTAGTTACTTTTATAGGTTTAATTATATGTAAAGGGACTATCAAAAGTGGGACTCTTCATGGACTTCTTGCCATCTTATTGTTGTGGCGTAATTATCGTACTAATATTATAAAATAATGTGTTAAAAAAATAAAGTGGCTGAGAGTCCAAAGATAACCTCATTTTAAAAGTCTCCTTAGCATTTCTTTTCAAATTTATTAAAAATTAAAAAATACATATCATCGTTGAGTTAAAGTGTCATTGACGTTAAATCTTGGATATCATAGAATGTCTGAAATCTATTTGGTTATAGGTCTTTTCTGAGCTAACACTTTGTGCAAGCTTGGTCTTACCTAAACCTCATTTTGGTAAAAGTTTCCCCTTTTAAATTAAATATTGGAGATGAATAATTGTAATTGTCAATAAATTAGTGACAGACAGACCTCCAAGCATTTTGAAGACACGTGATTATTTCTTAACAACCACAAATACAGGATTAGTGGATATTAATGCCAATATTCAAAGGTTGTGTCCCTAGTTTCTTCACTAAATTAGCTGGACTTGGACTTGATTGCAAACCTGTATCTATTAGATTGTGGTCTAAATTCAATTCGCTACGCGTAAGGGGGCATGTAAATATCTCTCCAGATCGATGAGGGGCCAAACCGTGCATTTTCCTATTAAAATCAACTTAGAAATCTAACACACAACTCCAATCCAATTGCTAAGTACATGATTTGTCCAAAGTTTCAATCTCAAACTAATTAAGACAACTTTTTAACTCTTTAATAAGACCGTTTCAGACCAATTCCAAACATTACGATCAGTTCTAACTCACATTATCATACTCACATTATTATAACTCCTTAATAATATACTGTAAGAAGTACCATAAAATGTTACTTAGCACAAGAACATTCGATCAAGCTACTATGACTACGTTAAGCAAACTAATAAAGTGAAAGAAATTAAAGCAGTGACTACAGAGAAAAAGTAGCAGGAAAGAGGAATATATGTAGTTCTACTTCCAAAACAAAGATTTTGGTCTTCTGCTTCACGTGTGAACACCTGGAGAATTTGTCTACTTCTTCTTCTTTGACTCCCAACTTTGTTCAAAAGATTCAGTCTCCGTTAGGTTACCATCTCCAATCTCCATAGATTATTCTCATATATTTATTTATCTACCTGGCTGGTTCCGCCTTCATTTCTGATACAACCTCCACAGGAAGAACAACTTCATGCACATAAAATATCATAAAAATGTTTAACAAATTTAATATTTTCTCCTTTATTTTCGGGAAAATAAACTAAATGCAGCACCGTCATCTTCACAAAACGCAGAGTTTTAAGCTTTGAGCTTTGGCAAAGGCGGCTGCAGCCATGCAGGGGTGGAAAAAATTCCCAAAATCCTGAACCGAACCGAAAAAATTCCAATCCAAACCAAAAATTTTCCAAACCGAAATTCTCGAAATTTTGGTACGGGATTCGGAATTGACTTTTCGATATTTCTGGAATCTCATACCGAACTGAAAATATATATTATTAATTATTATATGTATATTTTTTTTATTCTTTTATAATTGATGCTAGTAGTTTCTAATTCATGCTCTGCAACCTGGAATGCCCTACACCTTGCATGTTTTTCATGTTCTGTTTGATATTCATTTGGATTTTATTATCGTTGCTGTCATGGCTGATGATTTCAGAAGGCTTGATTCTTTTGTCTCTCAACAAATTGCCAACAAGGTTTAATTAATTTGAATTTTGACTCTGATAAAAATAGGCAAGCATATTAGTGTTCGATTAAATGGTAATGTGAATGAAATGACATTCTTAGTTCTTGAATTATATATTTGAAGAATAATTTATAATTTCATATTTTAATTTGGGATTTCCGATTTGTCCCAAAATCCCAAAAATATTTCGGAATTCTGAAATTTGGGATTCCCAAAAATTTTGTTTAAGATTGATCTTCAAATTTCTGTTCCGAAAAATTTTAGTTTGAGATTCGTGATACTAGTTTTCGATTCGGTATCTCATACTGAACCATCCCGAGCATAACAGAGGCACCAACCCGACGACTCTTTAATTTTATATGCGAAATCATGTGGTTTGGCAAATATCCCACTGTCTTGGAGGACTCGAGTTTTTCGTGTCCGCGACGCGCAATGCAGACACTATAATTTTGCTCTTTCTTTTGGAACCCCATGAGCCATGACACAATCAGCTTTTGGCTCCTTTTTTCTGCAGACAGACCAAGTGAATTAAAAATTAAAATAATAGCTTCATATTTTGGGTGAAGATTTCCTAGCAGATTTCTGGGAATCTTTTTTTTCTTTGCTTAGAGGGGAAGAAAACAAGTCCTTACACCCACAAGTTCACTGCAACTGTGACGTTATAAATACAAACTACAAAGGCATGTGTAAGACATTTTTATATTAGAGATTAAAGATATTACGATGGCGGTTAATCCATTTCATAAAAACTGGAGATACATTTCCCTCTCTATTTACGATTTCATATAAAAATTTAGCAATATTTTGATAAAATGGATTCTGTGACGAGAGAAATATAGAGAAACAAAAAATAGAGAAGGAAAAAAAAGAGAGAAAAGGGACAAGAAAACAATTAGAGAATTCAAATGCAGAAGCTAAAGAATACCGATATTTTCATAGAAATCACATTTGATAATATTCACATTCATAATTAAACCCACAAAATAAATTTAAACTAAACTAGATCACTAATTCTGATTATAATCATGTATTTGTGCGGATCAAAATCACCTCTTCACTGCTTTACACTAATCCTCATATAATCTCATCTAATCCATCAGGAAACCTTAATTAATCACACCCCTTTTTCTGGTGACCCTGATGTAGCAGAACACAGCTGCAAAAATGGTAGTGACAAGCCCGCCAATGATAATTCCTCCACCAGCCACCGACTTATCAGCTTTCTTTTCAGCAGGCCCCAAACGCCGGAAAGTAGGAGCTTCCGCCACCTCGCCTTCTTCCATGCTTTCAGTATCGGACGGCTCTGCCGCAATGGAAGTAGAGTGCTCTGTTTCTCTGCCCAAGTCATCAGATTTGTCGGCAGCCATTGCAGAAACCAGAAGGAACCCAGTAAGGAGGAGGCAAATCAGACCAAGTCTCGCCATTTGGGTTGAAATTTTGGGTATTGTTGGTTTTGGAATTTGATGATGTTGGGTGGTAAAAGATTGAATCTTTGGTTGGGGTTTGGGGAGTTTATATAGCGGAGAATGAATGTGTAGTGTTCGTTGTTGGGAAGTGGGTCCCATGTGTGATGTGCGAAGGTAACTATTTTGGGGTAGGGATCTGGGAAAGATTTGATACGCGGAAGAAATAAAATAGGAATAAAAGTGGTTCTCTGTGTGCATGAAAAGTTTGGAAAGGGATAATTTCCAAATCTCTTCCTCTAATTCATAAAATCAGCACATTCGGACCATTAAAATTTAATTAAAATGCTACAAATATGAGCTCATTTTAAAAATTATAATAATTTTAACCGTTTAATTAAATTTTAATAACCTGAATCTTCTGATTTTGTGAAATAGAAGGAATATGAATCTTGGGTAGGTTAAAGCTTTAGAGAGAGAGAGAGAGAGAGAGTGTGTGGTTAAGTGCAAAACGACATGCAACTACAACTGGGTACACACTGTGAACTCGAGATTTGTAGTAGACTAGTCGTAGGAGTGCTTTGATCTTTGGGAGGATAAAAGCTGGAAAGCAAATAAATTGAAGAAAGTAAATTGCTGTGGCTGTGGAACGTGGGAAGGATTCGCTTTGGGAAAGAAAGAAAGTAAAATGTAGGAGGATTGTTACATGTATCCAATCCGAATACACTATGTATCATAATTCATATAGTGTATGATTTCTTTTAAATTATAATATGTTTGTATTAATACGATATACAATTTACAATGATTCATGCAGTGTACAAATACATACATTCA